GGTTTCACAATGTAAATATTTGTATTGTAGCACCGGCAAGACTGTCAAAGAATAAAAAAAAAAAAAAAAAAAAAAAAAAAAATTTGTGAATGTACTGTGATAAAAATTTTAATAATTAAATATTAAATCATTGCAGTGCAAAAAAATTTATATGATTAGTTTATAAGATCATAATAAATTACAATAATTAGGTGGTTTTACGATTCATAACAATTTTTTTTTTGCTTGCTAGCCAGGCACACTACAAGCAAGCTACATGTTTTTTTCTCCATTCTGCCAAGTGATATCCAGGCACAAACCATTCATCTGAAAGTTCAAATTTTTTTGTAACTTTTGGCCGCTTTATTTTTGAACTTTTTGTCCCTTTTTTTACCCTCACCAAGGTCATTTGCAGATTCGATAAGGCCCCAAACCAACTCATGCCAGAATTCCTTATACTTCTGTTTAGATTCTAAGGTTTGAGCAATTAGATATGAATTGACAATTGCTATATCCAGCAACCAAAAAAAAGTGGTATCCAGTTTCACTGTATTGTTTGTTGCATATTGTAATAAAATCATAATTGATTAGTGACATCCACATTATTCATATTGTTGTTGTAATCATCAATTATTTTGGATATTTTCAATAATTTTTTTGATTCTGAACCAAATACTACATGTACCTTTGCTGCATTTGTGCTTGTTTCCCTTGGTCACCATCTTATTTGTTCAATTTCCCATTCTTTACCAACAAAATAATGGATCATTGATAATATTGTTACTGGCTCGTTATCCTGCCAAAAAGCAGCTAGTATGCTATTCACTACAACTCCAGAGCAAACATCCCAATCAAGTTTGATATTCTTTTCTACCTTCAGTTCTTTGGAAAACCCTGAGGCTATTTTACAAACAGTTCCACAGACTCCAATGCAAATTTGCCAGAAATTTTGAAAAAGAGGTACACTACTAAAATAATTATCCATATACACATTATATGGAACTTGATGATATGGAAGTTGCTCAATGAGGTGAAGAACTAAACACCCAATTTGACTAAGACCATGCTCTTTTACTATATCATTTGGAGTAATATGTAATATTAGCAAGAAAGTGTAGGTGTATTCTGATTCACATAACGAGAAAACTTTGAAACCCTCTAGTGTGGGCTTATTCTTAATTCAAACTGTGTATATGCTTCTGCCAGAAAAACGAACCATCATTTCATCCACCGATATGTTTGAACCTGGTACATAATATTGCTTCAAAGTATCACAGACGCATGAAAGCAATGGTTTCACTTTTTTAAAATAATTTGTAATTATTGAGGAGGGGGAAAAAATGTGTAGGAACCTTTTTATCTGTTCAAAGCATGTCAAAGATATTTGTCTTGAAATATAGTGGATGTTTCTGATTATCATTCCAATACTGGTTGAGAAAAGGTACTTTAAAAAGTCCATGATAGATAATGAAGGCTATTCAAATAACAAGCTTTTTATGAGTTACATCTTGCCAACCCCTACCAGAAACACTAGCATCCTTTAATGATGCATACAAATTCGTATTGACAACCATTATGTTAAATATTTTGCTTGTAAAAAAAAGAAAAAAAAAATCCACCACTTTGAAAACACTGACATCAAAATGTGGTAGTAACCTAACATTTGCTCTATGTAATGGACTTGAATAAACAAGCGATTCAAAGTCAGAAGATGGTAGTGGGAGTTTTTTTTGTGTGGTCTCTGCTGATTTACATTTTTTTTTATAGGCACTTTCAGTGTCAATTTCATTCTGGTCATCATCTGATTCCGGGTTATCATTTAAAAAATACCGGCGAAATGTCAAAACTGGTATGAATTCTTCTCCTTCTTCTTCGTTGCCATATTCCTCTACACTTTCAAAAGGAGACAAAAATGACAAATTTAAAGATGATGAGCCCAAAGATGATGAACTTGAAGATGCAAAGTTTGAAGACAATATATTGGCTTTATGTTTGGACATTACTGTGAGAATTTTTTTTTTTTTCATGCTTGACATTGATTATCTAGTTACTTATGTATGCACGTTTACTATCTTTGGATTAATGTTGCATCATACATATGGAAGATACCGTGAAAAGAAATTTATGGGTAATCAATTGATCCAATAAGTCTCATTTGAGCTTAGTAAAAGGGGAGAAATCTTAGAAAAATCTGGAGTAATTAAATAAAATCGGAGCAAAAAAATTTTTAGCGAGCAAATTTGCCCACATTATGGTTTAAGGAATAGAGAGTTTAATGATACTTATCTTTGTAATTTGGTTTGGTGGAAGGTATCAAACTTTGTTTAATTTGTTTAAACAAAATCTTAATTTTTTCCTGTTCTCAAATAACATAAAACTTTGTATATTGGTTTCTGCTACTGTACAAATTATTAACATAATAATAGAAACTAAATATAAGCAAATAAATATAAGCAAATTAAAAACTTTTTAGAAAAAGCTACATACCTGGCCCAGTTTACAAATTAACAAAAGAAACAAATAAAATCTCAAAGCAAATTCTTCATTTTATATAACTACCTGTTATATAAAAAGAATTAAAGGAAAAAATCAGGGAATCAATTTCTAAAAGTAATTAAAACAAAAGAAGTAAAATCCATCTTATATATATATCATATTTACCTTTTAGATACATATGTTGTAACCTAGATGCAAATTAACCTAATTAACAATTAAGCTAGCCTAGATAACAATTTGATTTTGGGATAGCAATTTTGTCTCAAATACAAATTAGATAATATATCAATATAAACAAATAAGAAAACCAATATAAAAGCCAATTAGAATTTTTTTCTCAAGTCATGTGACCCACACTTCAATATTAACCAATAATATTAGTGAATGATAACAATTAGATTACTAATAATAGTATATAATGATAACATTTAGAATAACAATATAAATAATCTACATAATTAAGTTTTTCAAAAAAAAACTTTTTTCTTTACTAACTAATTATCTTTTAGAGCTCTAAATAAAGTTGTAGAGGGGTGTCTTGCGATTAAAATGATAGTTAAAATATTAAAATCAGCTTATTAAATCGCAAGATATAAGTAGAGGTCTTATCTGGTCAAAAATTTTGTATTAAAATATTCATTTGTTCAATACTTTTAATATTCGAATATTCATTGAAAAATTTTGAATGAATATTTGAATATTTATTGAATATTCATTGAATATTGTATATACTATAAAACAATTTTATATTTTATTAATACTATGATTAAATAGCTAATA